ACCATCACAAATCTGGATCTCAAAAAGAAAAAAAAAATTGTCGAGGTTGAAAAATTTAAATGAAAAAAAATTCTAATTTAAATTTATGGATTTTCAATTGCTTCGAAAGAGAAAGATTTAGAAAATGTAGAAGCTAATTTTAGCAATAACGACAACGTTGTTGAACAAGCTGCAGATTTAAATAATGTGACTTTCGACTTTCCATATTCTGATAATATAGAAAATAAAGATGACGTTGAGCCCGGCAATCTTTTAGTTCCTATCAACAATACCTCTGAGAATTGTAAGTTAGATATTACTGATAATAAAGTTTCTAAAACAAAACTGCTTGACTTTGATGTTGGTAGTCTAAAAAATGAAAGACCAAAAACTTCTGAAATTGAGGAAGCACTTTGTAGGAGTCCAGAAAAGATCCCATCTCATTTTCCAAAAAATGTGAACGAACATTCATTTCCTGTTTGTATACTTTTTACAAGTAAGAAAAATGGAGATTATGTTCCCCGTGATTGGTTTTTTTAGAGCAAAGTTAAAGAATCGATGTTTTGTTTGCTTTGTCGCCTTTTTAGCAAACTATCATCAGCAAGTCGCTCACCTTTAACAACTATATTTGGGTGTTGTTTTAAAGAAAATGGAAAAAATTAACATGACAAAATTCTAGAGCATCAAAACAGCGGCAACCATAAATATTGTTATATTAAATGGCGGAAATTGGAAAAAAGTATTGACTCTCATTCCACTGTCAATATTATGCTAATGCAAACCATTTAGAATCAAGCATCACAATTGAAACAGGTTCTTCGCCAAATTTTAGATGACACATTGAGCCGTTATGGTTCTGTCTTGAAAGACAACCTAAACAAAGTGATGAAGTCGCAGAAATCGAAGAGAAGACAACAAACAAATTAACTTTCACCGGAAATACAAAATGAGTATATAGAGTGATGTGCCAAAAAAGTTTAAGGCGTTATTCTAAGTGAAAGAGAAGCAGCAAAATATTAGTCAATGCTTGTTGATGCAACCCCCGATTCAGCACATATGGAACAAACTGTATTTATACTGTGTTATGTTTATTTAAATGAAGAAAAAGAGTTTTTTTGACTGCAATCAGAAAACGGGAAAAGCTATTGCTGAATTAATTTGCAGTGTTATTAAAAAACACAATATACAAATAATAGGCTGTCGTGGTCAAGGTTATAACAACGGTAGCAACATGAGCGGTCAGTATAAAGGAGCACAAGCAGAGATAAATAAAGAGAACCAAGTTGGAAACTTATTCTTCATGTGCTTGTCATAGCTTAAATCTGTTTGGTGTCCATACCGCAGAGTGCTGTGCAGCGGTTATA